TAATCTCCAGTTATTTGTTCCAATAGCCAAATTGCGCTCTTACCAATGTTAGTCGTGTCCCTGCCATTGCAATAACTGTGCCTCATTGTCCTGTTAAGTCTCTTGGTGATTTTGCTGCTGCCAAATTTCCCCAGCCAGAGAGTGTCAGGGTCTCCATCTGCAAAATGGTCTAACCCAAGCAAACCCACGCCCTGCTGCGGCAAAGCTCGTTGTTGTGATCCATAATCATCCCTAATCCCTGTGGTTGATTCCCCTGATTACATGTCAGAACAGGAGCGCAACCTATTTAAGAGGAGCTGTTTTCAAATCAGCGGCACATCCTTTCATTAATTAAGGTACGCGGGTTTGACACAAAAGGTGTCTCTGAAATGTCTCTGGACTGCAGCATAGGAAGACAGCATGTGTCTGTCAGGATAACACTTGACTCAGATTGGGCTGTTTGCCCTATTTTCTAGCTTTTTGGCTGCTGTACAGATAATAGGACCCCTCCAGAGCGGAGGAAATCTGGCATCAAGGCAGGATTCTTTCGAGTAATACATGGCCCTGGTGGGTATTAATCCTGGTAATTTAGGCAGGTGTATGCGAGTGATCCTGGAAATGAAATATAGATTTCCATGTTAAAGGTTTAGTTTCTATAATGGCGTTTTCTGAAATGCCAGAGAGTCTGCAGAGCCTGCAGTTTCCCTGTGGTGATGAGGTTCATGAATGGCAGGGAAAAAAAAGCCAAGAAATTATTAATGTTGGGCTTTAGGAATCAAGTAATTGGCCAAAAAATGTTTACAGAAACATTAAAGAAAAGCTTGAGGCTTTGCAAATTTTTCTGCACGCAAATCACTATGTTGGTTTATCCAAATACTACTGAACCCCAAAACAGGTTCAAATCTTAGCTAGAATAGAGCTGACTCACCAGATTTATCATGGCTGTTCATTTATCAGAGTAGCTTTATTTCTTCTATTTGTAAGCATGACTCGCTTTTGTACCCACAAGATCAGATCACAGTTGCGCTCATTTTGTGTCAAAGCAAACAAAAGCATTTTGTGTCCCTGTCCTGTTCAAAATCATTCTTTACTTCCCGTGCTTTCTCTGAGTTGTGCCACAGTGGGGAAATTTTCATGGGCTTTGATTTCCCGTTAGTTCTTCTTTCTCCTCTACTAGTGTTACCGTGCTGATTTGTCTTTTCCTCATGCTGTAATTGGTCTGGTGCCACTGTGTAATTTTTAACTGTGTGCAGTATCAACAGACCTCCATCTGTCTCTCCTCCAGAGCTTCCCAGCCTGCCGTTATAAATATCTGCCAAATCCTTCTCCAAAGAGAGGATCACCAGATTCCAACTGTTTGCAAAATAAGAGCCGCCGCCAGAAATCGTCTCCCACCGTCTGCAACGTGTGCAGAACCTGTCCTCTGCATGTTGTGAGATGTTACTGCTGGCACTGAGGAGCTCTGACCATTGCTTTAATTTAGCATCCCTCAGAAGTGTTCTGCAGAGGGTTCAACATATTAGGCTGTTTGCTCAAATATCTCATTATGTGTGTTATTTTATTAGAAAATAACCTTCAATAGTGATGAGGTAATAAAACCAAAACAACTTGAGGGTAGGGTTTTTTTTTCCCCTTTAAAATGCAATTCTGATTTAAAACAAGCTGTGGGATGGATCAGTTCCGGTGTTGTTGGATAAGATACTTTACTTGTCCTGGAAGGGACTCGGAGTGCATGCCCCTCTCCCAGCCTGTCACTTAGAGACTGAGGGCCAGTCACCCCTGGCAGGACTTGCTGAGTGCATGCCCATGTAGCTGAGAGCAGAGTTTGATCTTCCACATCTCAATACATATACGTCAGGATAGATCATTAGAAGAATTAGCACTAAACCACGCAATGCATCCGTTAGATTGTGCACCCTAAAAAGTAGCAAGTTTTCTAATGTGGATAAAAATAAAATCATGTATAAATTCATTTGGATAAAGAAAAAAATATAGATTACAGTGCAGGTGCCCTTTTAACACTGTTAAAGCCATTCTCATAACAGTTCACTGCCTCCATTGATTCAAAGCCATTTGAGGGTCATGTGGCTTTTAAATCCAGTTGTGTACCTTAGGCTGTGATCATCACACGTGGTAGCATTTGCTGGTGGTATGGTAGCTTACTGGGGCTGAGGAATTACCAACAAATCTCTTGAGGTGCTGCTGCAGACATCAAATTAACGATAAATGTATGTTTGAATAAAGCTCTTCTCAGCTAAAGTCAGATCCAAGGAACGAGGTTCCAGTTCTCTCTACGGGATATCGGAATAAGTCAGCAGAAAGGATTTTTCAAGGTTATTTCAGGAGAGGGTTTCACATTGGATCTGCTACATCTTAGCTCTGCAGAGTTTTGCAAAGGAATATAAAGCATGTAAAGCAGACTGAGGATTTGATAAATACTCCTTCCAGTCTACATTCAGAATCACCCAATATTTCCAAGAGACAGAAAAGTGTGAGCCTTAACTGTTTGACATGGGTATAGGCACTGTGGCTGGAAGGTGTTTTCCTGTAGATAAGTAGAGGGAAGCACCTGAAGCACCAAAGAAACTTGGGAGTTTGTTTCATGATGTGTAGTTGGGTTTAAAAAATACCAATACTTCCCTTATCTAGATTGCACTGTGGGTTTGGTGTCCATTTTTGAAGGTTTTAGGACAATCAAGTTCATGGTTTTCTAGGAGGGTGTGCTACGCTTAATAATACATTATGACAGGAGAGAAATATGTACAAACAAGTCCAAGCCTGCAGGACAGCTATACTTACTCCCCAGTGAATAATATCCCCAGCCATTGCCAGAGGTGGCAGGGAGCAAATAGAAAAGTGAAATTAGAGAGACCGGACTATCCCGGCGGTGATGTACTGACTGCCCGGCGTGTCGAGCAGGCAGCGCCAAGGAGCTGGGCTGTGGATCTAGCTGTGCTTGCAAGATTGAGATCTACCCTTTGTTTAAGTCTGATTTTCTGGACCAAGATTTTCTTGTAAAGGAACAGCCACAATTTGTTTAAAGTCTTTGGGAGATAAAAAGCAGATGGCATTGATTAGCTAATTAGTAATATTTTCTGCAACTTATCAGCTGTGCTGATATGTGTAAAGTTTGCAAAAGCTTGGGATGAATCTTTCTCTCTTTGATTTGTTGAAGAAGTTGAATTTGTAAAATCTGGAGGGGAGGGAAGGTTATATACAGAAGTGTAATTTTCTGCCCAACAGAAATACGTTGATCTTTTCCTTTGAATTTATATTCAGAGCTCATTTCATCATTTTTGAGGGGAATACACGCAACAAGGTAGCAGCTCTCCTAGCTCTTGTCTTGTTTGCATGGTGTATTGTGTGACCTGCCACAGGTTTCTGGCTCTCCCGTGTTCCTCTTTGTGGGCGTGCTCCTTCTCCCTTTGCATTTATTATGGAGGCAAAACAAAATAATATTTTTTATTTTATGCCAGGCATGCTTTTAGCTTGTCTCCTTGTGAACCCTTGGCAGCCACAGCAGCACCCTAGCAGGACTTCTGCCAAGTGTTGGCCACCTCTGTGACCACTACTATTGCAGTGGTCAGTGCTGTTTTGGCCAGAGCATCACTGGGGTGTTGGAGGACCCTCCAACCTTGAGTTATACTGGGGACGAGTCAAATACCTTGATGTTGTCTCTGTGATGGCAATTGTTCATCATTTAGGGCAAGGTAGAGTACCTCACCAAGACATTAATATAAAAAAGAAGGTCTGAGAAAGGATATCAGCCTTTCAGACCCTGGTGGTTGCACAGCAAAATCTTCATATAGCCAAAAAACATGAGACTCATCTGGTTTCTTCAGCAAGGTGGATATGGGAGGGTTCACAGGCATACACCAGTCAGAATAGTCCCGGTGGCCTTTGTGGGAATGAGCGTGGGTGGACACTATTTTGGGTTCCCAACAAGCCCCGTAATTAGGACTTGCTGCAAATTCTCTGGAGGTTTGAGCTCTGCACCTGCACCACCCCAAAGCCTTTCATGTGACAAGGTCCTGGTGTAGAAGCTGTATTTTAATTGCCAGTGTATAGCATGGGTGACGCACGAGCTGTCAGCTGGCCACCTGTGACAGTGGGGAATGAGAAGGAGCTTTGTTTTCCTCTCCTGGGGAACTGTCCTCCCTTGCAGATGCTCTGCAGAACAGTTTTGTGGTGCTTATCTCCCATTTAAGACTTCAAAAAGGGCATGATGCGGGTTGAAGTGGGGCCCAGGCATTGTACAGGTCAACTGCCTGGGTTGTGCTCACTCGTGCTCCATCCAAAAGCCATCAGGACTGGAGACCGCCTAAAGTGAGAGGGGGATTTGCTCCTCTGTTATACAGAGCTTTCTAATTTCCATGGAGTTCAGTGTTGAAGCTTTAACCTTTCTATTTTCATCAGAATGACATTTTTTCTTGGTTCTCAAACTGAAGAAACAACAAATTCTGCATCCTCTCTGGAGCATGGTCTTGTTAATGTTCTTTGAAACATGACATGTGTCATGGCCGTCAAACTGCAATGATCCCATTTCTTCTGAAATGAGAAAAACACGTCACTTCTGGCTTTAAGTAATACAAAGGGAGAGTCATATTTTAGATAGGAGCTGCATGGCTGCCAAAGATGAAAGAAAAATGTTATTACTTTTGGAAATTTCATAATTACAGTTAATGATAATTTAATGAAATGACATTGTCTTCACCACTATCACTAATGAAATGTTTGAGAGAGATAAAACAGATCTTGTTAAATAGAGCAAGAGTCTTGAGTGGAAGAGCTTTGTGACAGCAGCCTGCATGCACAAGTCTTGAATTCCTATTTTTTGTTACAGTAGTTTAAAAAAGAAGATAAAATGAAGGCTACATGGCAAATAATGCACACATGAAGTATTTAAAGACCTTCCATTATGCAAACAATACCGAACTCCTGAATAACGTGCTGATGACTGAGTACTGCTCCTTAGAAATGCTAACCCTTCATTAAAACACTTTCCTTGTTTTTCTTTGCAGACAAACCAGAGAACAAGAAACCCCGCCTGACTTTTTTTATTTCTCAGACTATGAGAGACATAATGCAGAAATAGCAGCATTTCATTTGGACAGGCAAGTAAAATGGATTTGCATTAAAAGAAAAGTGGAAATATTGTGATAAGTTTCTGCACTTGGCCAGCCCTGTAACTGAATTACTTTTAAAAAAGGGGAAAATGGAACAAAGGTGGGCAAGCGCCATGAATAAATGAAATGGCGGATGATGAAAGGGTAGATTAATAATTAGGAAATGCGACTTGCTCTGGGAATAAGAAACCTGGCAATAAGTAATTCTCAAAAAGAAAGAGGAATTATATTGAAGAGAAGCCGAGAAATGAATTTCCCCTGTGATCTTGAAGTGCATATGGAGAGGACCCATCTCCTGGGGAATATGTAGCGCAAGTGTGACAGGAGTCTGGCTCACCCCAATTAGCTCCAGGGCACACAAATCCGAGCGAGACGTGGGGAATCGTGCAAGTATTCAGAGAGGAATAATTGAGATGGGGAGGGAGTTCTGGTTTCACAGCAAAAAGCTGGCAGCGTCCCACATCAGGAGCATATTTAGGCCACAAGTTAGTAGGAAGGGGAGGACACTGATGGTCATCTCATGCTCCTGTTAGCTGAAAATGTCCCTGCAGGCAGAGTTAGTACCCCAAGGCTTGGAATGGACTGCAGCCCTTCAGCCTTGCCCAGATTAAGAACAGGAATTAATAATTAGTGAGGAGCTATTAACAGTATGGCTACAAACCGTGGCATTTCACAGGCTGAGTTAGAACTGAAACATCTTTCATAACCTGAAGGGCCAAGAAACATCCTTCAAAAGCTTGAAGCTTTGGGGCCACAAATGATCTGGGGATACATGTAGTATTGCTGCCTTCTGGGCTGATGGTTGGGATGAGGGAACCTGTCAGTGGGTGGCACAAGGTTAGATTTGCCATTAAGAGCCATCCTAGTCAGATCCTTCAAGGATCTTCTATATTTTATTGGTGTTGACCTTGGTGTTGATCCCTTCTGCTTTATATTTTATATTGACATTTTAAGCAGATGGTGCTGTAGGAAAAAACATTAATGGAGTTCCTGAAGGGAGGTGTGTTAAATATCCACACGCTAAGCAGAACTAGCAGACACTACCAATGTAAAAAATCTTACTAGCAGACAGCGGACATAAAAATCCCACCTATGGGGAGCCTTTGTATGGGGACTTTGCTCTTTTACTGTATCTAGTAGCAATGCTTTGTAAGGGTTTTTAATGATCTACTACGTGGGGGGGAATTTGGAGTAGAGAAAGGCTCTTCACCCAATCTTCGCCTGTGGGAAAATTTTTAGTCTCAGGGAGATGGTTGTTTAGGTTGGTGTAAGGGTATTAAAACAGAGAGGAGCAGAAGCAAATAAATCAAACAAATACTAAGACTGTCAGGAAAAAAAAATTACTAGTTTTTAGATCTATTATGTGGTGTTTATGTAAGAAAGAGGCTGAAAACCCATTCCTCAAGTCACTTAAGAAATTGCTGAGCAAAATGCATGTTATAGCAATCCTGAAGTAGCACAAAGTCAAAAATAAGTTTCTGCTGTCTCTTACTTCTGGAATTCCTGATTTTCTTCATGGAACAATGTGTCCCTATATTCTTCTGGATTTTGCATCTGCTCTGTACTACGTAGGCAACTCAGAGCTGATCATATTCAGGACATATTTTGTAATATATTATACGAAGGATTATGCAGTTTAAAGTTGATGGGCTTTTTACTCCTTAAAGACCATAGATAAATGTGCCTTCAGAGTGTAATGAGCCTTCCTAAAACCTATCACTATCACTATATGTTAATCCTTTACATAAACTGTCTACCTCTTTTCTTTGTCTTCAGGATCCTGGATTTCCGTCGTGTGCCACCGGTTGCAGGTAGATTGGTTAACATGACGAGAGAAATACGAGATGTTACTCGTGACAAGAAACTGTGGAGAACATTTTTCATCTCACCAGGTAGTCTTGGAAATAACACTATATTCTTTCTATTCCACTGAACACGTACTTAAGGGAACGATGTGTAGATTGCTTAATTGCTCAGATATTTCTAATAGAACTGTCTTCTAGACCTTTGAATAAAAATAAATGTGGAGACATAGCCTACAAAGAAGACTTTATTGTTTTGAATTGAGTGCCTTTTCCCCTTGACAAATTATCCACAGAGACAGGCTTTTATGTTCACAAATACAATGTATTCAACAAATGTTTTATGTAGAGTAATTTCTAAAGCAATTTCTTCTGTTGCTCTCAGCTTACCCGAAACCTTATTACTTAGCCCATTAGTTATTTAGACTTTTTTTTTTCTACTGCAGTGTGATCCATCACGTCTGTTGGTCAGATGCATTTATTTCTTGGTTTTGACTGGAGGACAAAACCTGATTTTCTCAGAGTCATGAACCCCAGTTTTTGTTACAACAGGAGTTTGAAAAAAATCAAGCAAATAGATATGTAACATATCCTGCTTCCAGCTCAAATTCTCCGCTGGGTAGAGGCCAGAGTAGAAGTGACCTGAATTGTTCCCAGTCCTCATTCTTGCTTTGAGGCCTGACCTCATGAACCGATACCACTCTCTATTTCTATTACTCTTCACTGTTTCACAATATCTGGTGGCCCCAGCCAAGGATGGAGCTCCACAGGGTGGGAATTTTACAAACACAAGGTAAAACCATGCCCTGCTCACAAAAAAAATATGCATCTGGAATAGGTAAAGCTGGGCAAAGCATGAGACAAAGTGGTATCATCTCTGTTTAGCATCTGGGATGCTGAGATGAAGAAATTAAGGCTCTGATTTAAGGCACAGAAATGCATGCCTAAGTATGTTCTTAGAAAAGAATATATAGGGAAATATTCAGTTTAAAGCATGTAGCTGTGTTCCAATGAGTTTAACTCGTATTATTGCAGCTGCATGCAAATGTGCTTTGCTGAACTCAGGCTGTGACTTGTGTAACAGGCAATTTGGAGCAGAAATCTCTGGAGATCTCTCCCTTGCGCTGTGTGTGATTGGCCAGAAGCTGTTTATCCTAGATCCCTAAAGTCAAGATCCAAAGACTTAATTACAGCTTCTCCTGATGTAACTGTAATTTATTGCTGTTAGCTAGAAACCAGAGCCCTGTCACTGCAGAGCTTTCTCTCTTAAAATGTTTATCACACTTTTGTAATCACCAATAAAGTCATTATTATGGCTGTTATTTTTAGCTGAATGTTTTTGTTCAGCTCTGTAGGACGCACAGTTGAGCAGACAGTTATTTATTCTAGTAACTTCACTTGTAAAATGCATTACATAATTACACGAGGTTTCATCTTAGCCCGCGTTACAAGTGCTCCAATTTTACATGTACAGTCCTGGTGACAGTGGTGACAGGACATGGTGACAGGACATGGTGACAGGACACGGTGACAGGACACGGCGACAGTGTTCACCAGACACGATGTGCAGACATTTCTGTGTGCTAGGCACTTGTAGCTCAGTCGCTTTCTCTCCCTCTCTCCCTCTCTGTTTCTGTGTCTCTACATTGGGGTTTTTTTGCCTGACTTTTTTGTAGGCAAACAATCACACGCAAAATACAGCAAAAAAATCTTGTGACTGTTTATGTGCACAGGGTGCTTTGGCTCATTTGAAATATAAGCCATTTTATTCCTGTTTTAGCAAGTAAGAAATGGATTAGTGGGTTTGCTTGCTTTTTAGTCTTTCCAGGATATATATCAAGGCTTAGGGGTGAACTTGAGTGATTTCTGAGAATTACAAAACTGTACTCAAGTACTGAGCAGCTTACAGCAGCCGGAGCATGGCAATGCAGAGTTAAGGCTGCCGGTTCGGATGAAGATCTTGATCTTGTAATTATGAAATTCCAGACATCCAAGGGATGATCCAAGCATAATCCTTTATTCAAATTTATTTAGAAGCCTCAGATAAATTCAATTAAAATATTTGATTAACTATGAGTCAGGCTTTTCTGGAGAATAAAACTCTTAAGCAATTAATTTTTCTTTCAATTTTACATTTCCTAAATCAATATACTTTGCTTAAATCATGTTGGTTACTTGTCAGAGTTCTTCCCTGCAAGTCCCCAGTTTAATTAGTCAAATTCTCATTAATATATGCCCAACCTCTGTCTTGTATTTCATACTGACCTTAAAAGGCAAGCATTAATTAATGCTAAATGAAAAAGTAATAAAGGTCCTAAATTAAGTGTTTAGAAACAAATTCACAAACCTAGCAGGCAGGCAAGCAGCAGATTGAGGACAGAAAAGGGAAAAGAGGAGGGTGCTGGGACAAGTCCCATGGCCTGGGGAGGTGAGGATGGAGAGGGACCGGGAGCCCGGGGAAGACTGGAAGAGGCTGACTTGTCCCCTCTGGCAGATGAGGGGCAGCAAATTCAGTTGGTTTTGAGGGACAACTGGTTACAAAGCTGAGAAATTGTGGTGTGATGTATAGATGCTTGCAAGAGCCAGTCTGTGCACCCACATTAAGCTATCGAGGCCGCTCTGGGACTCCCTTTCAGGTGGCTGTGTTTCTGCATCTCTATCCCTCTCCATGCACCCATATACATCTCTTAAAATTAAACAAGCACTAAATGTAATTGATTTTATACAAATCTCTTCCCCTCGGGCTTGGAGACCATTGCTTGCAGTGGAAACCCTCAGAGGGTAAATATTAATGATGCTCATCAGTACACCATACTATTCCCTGGACCAGTGCGAGGATGTGGTGGAAGAAACCTCACTGCATTTCCATGCCTGGGTCATCTCACTTGTCCCATCAGGGATGGAAATCAGGGCCTTTCACTGCCAGGAAGCTGCAGGCAGTGGTAGCTTCAGATCAGGCTGCAGAGCGGCATCCCGCTTCCATCGGGAAATGGAAATGGCTGCGAGCAGACAGGTCAGTCAATGCATTAGGCTGCATTCAGAGAGAAAGCAGATTGCAGAAAAGTGCACTTCCAGGCAGTTTGGACTAAACATGAGAAATGGAATTAGGTCAGTAATTATTTAAATTAATTTTACATCCTTGGCAGTAGAGCAGACTGCAGTAGTCCTGCTACTTTTACAAATGAATGGTAATTTGCCAGGAAAAAAAGAGACATATTAATGATGTCAGCCTTCATTTTGGAAGTAATTGAGGCAGCAGCTTAAAGAAATCAATGTTACACAGCTAGCAAGCACTATGTTTTTGTTCATATTAACCAATTCCAAGGGATTATGGTTTTTGTCCCCGTCTCAGCAAACAATAGAAATTCTGAATTAGCTATTATTTTGAGCAGGTAAAAGAAAGATCTTTTCATGCATTGCTTTAGTAAATATTCAGGATTCTTTCCAGTACTCCAGTTGCACAGGCTTGCTAAATGTCCTCTATTAACAGTCATGCAAATCTCAATAAAAGAATTGCTCTGCCAGGCAATTTGCTTTAAGGTATCTCCACTTGTTCATTTTCTTCCTGAGAATTATTGTTCAGCTATCAGGATGATGTACAGAAAATGTGCAGATGAGTACAGAGACACTCTGCTTCTTAATTGTTGTAATTAGTTGGAGTTTCGATCACCAGACCATGATTTTTGCGTGGATTTCATTATGAATTGTATCCATTCATCCTCAGATAATGAAAATCAGACATCTGCAACACCGCTTGGGATTCTCTTGCCTCTTGAGTGCTTTGGGGAAACAATTTTGTTTTTTAATGAAGGAGTTTGCATGTTGCAAATTCCCAGCATTTGAACATTTCAGCATGTATAAACATCCCTCCCTTTCTAGTTTGCCAGCACTGCTGCTGTTTCCATTTCTACCCACTCTGCAGGAGCACAAATTCCTGGCAGTCGCTTCTTTTGCAGGTGTACTTAGGGATGGGGTCTGTACAGAAACACCTGTGTCGTATGAGAGAGGAGCATACAGGCTGGGCAATTTTAATGGGAGGAGAAGGACCACACTGCAATTAGACTTAGTCTCCCCTTTCCTTCTGATTTTTGCCTTCGAAAGGCCAAACCCTGCTCTTAGCCTGGGATTGCCAGCGAAGCACTGGGCTGGAATTTCACCCTCAGCCTGCTGTGCAGAATGTGGGTCACCTACTTAGGTTTCAAAGAGGCTTGCTACTGCACCCTGAAGTCTCAAATGAGAACTGTGGTTTTCTATATTTGGTACCTCTTTTTTTCTACGTTTTTAAGAAACTGCAAAAAATGAATGTTTCCCTAGATAATTCAGGCTGCTTCATCTCACTGCCTGTATATAAGAACTAGGGTAGACATACCGAGACGTCTATTCTATATCAATCAAAGCAGTTCATTTCTTTAATAGTAACTTGAGATTCAGCATCCTTTTACCTCCACTGCCCTCAGAAATCGGACAGGAGCCGTGGAGAGTAAGTACCACAGGTCTGAGCCCACAGGGAGAATAAGGGCTGGCAGAAGAAGCTTTCCCATTGAGAGTAACTTCTCGCCGAGAAATACACTTGTGGTCTTACCGCAAGTTTGCTGTCTTAATGACAGGACGCATCCTGCCATCGCTCGGAGGGCTGGACTCCGGTTGCAGGCGATGGGGGCTCTGTGGGAAAATCAATAGCTGGAGGAGCCCAGCAGGAGCGGGGCCGAGCAGCCCGGCGTGGTGCAGGCAGCACACGTGCTAGCCGTGTCACTCTGCAGCAGTGAATGCCACTGCTGCCATAGCCCCTGAGCTTTCCTGAAGATTTATCTGGATATAAATGTGTGATTACTGTCAAGTGATTAGTCCCAGTTGCTTTCATTGACAATACGGAGCAGGGTTTCATTGTTCCCAAAGTTAAATTCAGAAGCAAACTGTTAAACACAGTATTTATCTTCCCACTGTGCAAAATGCTGTGTTTAATATAATTCCTTTTTTGAAAGGTCAGATTTACATAGTGAGCAGCAGAGGCTGCGATGGCGTGGGAGGGGCATTGCTGGGCCTTTTGCTCTTTATGAAATGGTCACGGTGGCAGATAACCGAGCATCGGCTTCCCGCTGCCAGGTGGAAGTCAGGTCACAGACACCCTGGAAGATGAATAGTCTCAGGCGATCAAGATAAATCTGCATGGGTTCCCTCCCTGCACAGATGAGCGGATGATGCTGACACAGCTGAACTGAAGCACAAGCCCTGCTGCAGCTTCGTATCGGTAGAAACATAAACCCTCCCTGCAGCACAGGGGAGAGCTCTACCTTCCCAACACGGCCGCAGGCGCCCGGGAAATAAGGGATCGTTTTCTCTCTCCTAACTCTTCTGTGCTAGCCTGCAGCAAGCAGCATCTGTATGTGATTTCTTATAAATCATCCCTTGTGGCAGCCTGGAACCCCTTGAAATACTTTGTCTGCAATAATTTCTTTTAAGGTTATAAATCACAGATGTTTTCCCCCAGTTTTTATTGGCTGAGAATATCCCAACCTTCCTAACAGCCCAGTATGATCCTCCCGTTTGCAGGCCATCTGCAGCTGGCAGTGCTGCCCACGGGTGCTTGGACAACTCCTCACTTCCATCCTGAATTATGGAAGAGGTACACAGGGAGGCATGAAGCCCTCCTGGTTTTGCCAGGATGATCAAAGGCAAAGCTGAGGCACCTGTGTTAGCCCTGCAAAAGCTATGCCAAGTCCATGCTGCGATAGCAAACCCACGAGAGGTTATAGACTGCAGGGCAGTGCGCCCAGGGCTTGCATTAGGTTGGGTTTGTCTAGATGTTGACTTTACACTTGATTTTAGACTAATGACATGAGTGAGTCCAAAGGAGGGCCACTGAGATGGCCCTGGAGGTGGTGTATCTGGTGTATGAGGAGAAGCTGAGGGCTTCAGATTTTTTTAACCTGGAGAAGCTGGCCTGAAGCTGTAGCTTGGACCAGAGGCCTCCAGAGTCCCTTCCATCCCAAGTTTCCTTAACTGCGATTGCTCTTTTCCGATGCAATTTGTAAAAAGTTTTCAAAAATTCCCTGTCAGAGATAGGAGTTATATTACTGAGTTGCTGAAAAGAAAAAATGAGCGGTGTTTCTGTTTAGAAGTTAATAGGCATATCGTGTGATGAGCAGTGCCCAAACTTGTGCTGGGGTTCATAGGAAATAGCAAAGCCGAGTGGCTTATTGGCCAGGGACACAGTCACTTCTTAGCTCATGGGAAGTCTCAAACAACTGTTCCTTTAATTAAAATGTTAAGGGACTAAGTATGCCTTATGTGTAAGAAAAAGCTTTTAAAATAATTTTAGGAAAGGATATTCTGCGTGGTAGAACACTGTAAATTACAGAATTAAAAGTATAGATGTGCTGAGTGCTCCCTTCCTTCCTTTTGCAATTTCTGTTCTTCATTTTTTCTTCCCTGAAGTACTTTTCTTTCAGTAATTGTCAACGAGTTTTTTGACCACAGGGTAAATATTTCTGGACTGAGTCAGGATATATTTAACTGGTACAAGCCAACCCTGTGAATGTAAATACACAGTTCAAGTTGGAGCTGTTCCTGAGCACGGATAGATGGGTGGTCCTTATGAGTCAGTCACAGCAGAGGGATTCAAAAACACTGTGTCCAGAGTAAAGCAATCACAACTTAATGGACAAATCTGATGGACATCAATAGCGGCTTGGACATGAAGACCTGAGACAAACTGCCAAGTAGTACACATCGGCCTTATAGTCCAATTATTTGATGTAATGCCATGGTTAGTAGTCAGTCCCGGATAATACAGTTAATTAATACAATCAAAAACATCACAAGACCTTATAGCTCTTCCACATTCTCCTCCTTCCCCAGCCGCAGCACCTTGCCCTGGAGGGAGGGACCTCCTGTTATCTCTGTAGCACCGGGGCCAGTATTGCTCCCTGTCCTCTTCACTCATTGTCTCCCTTGCATCACCCGCCAGCAGCATACCATCTCTGCTGGACTCTGTGCCGGCCATAGGTCGGATCTGGACAGGGGGGATGCCACAGCAATGTGCAGGGTGGTGTCCTGCAGGGCATCGCTGTGATGCAAACCCACCAGCTTACCTATCTGAGACACGGGGTCATCTGTGGCAGGCAGAAAAGTCACCTCCCTCTATTCACCAGCCCTTCCTGCCTCATGTATGCTGATCCTGCCCAAAGGAAGAGTAGCTCAGAAGCAATATTTAAATTTAGAGGGCTTGTGGGGAATTAGGAAGCAATGTGACTTCTCAGCTTCATGCATTACCATAAGGAAAGGGCACAGTCTTCCTCAATGACTTTTTTATGTGCATAAAGCAATGTCACAAGAGTTGTGGCACACCAACAAGAACAGCATTGTGCTCCTGTTCTTGTTCATAGTCCACCATTGGTGGGGTTTGGGAGTGAGCTGCTTTCTCCCACCTCCGGTGAATTCACATGGGAAGGGGGTTCTTGTAAAGAGGTGGGTGTTCCCATTGGTCCAGAAATATGTGGTGGCAGCTTTGGGGAGATTCTAAGGTAACACACGCTCCGAAACCTGCTGCAGATTCTTTTTCTGTGGTTGTTGGAGTAACGTGATGTGTGGAGGAAGAGATTTGTGTTTGGGATGTGTGCTGACAGAGTTAGGTCTGTGATATTTCCACCTTCCACACACAATCCCACATGAGTCTTCATGGTAGATAATTCTCCTTAGTAAAGCTGCCAGTTCTTTTCATACTAGCAAGTAAATGAATGAAATGTTGTTGTCTGTTGTTAAAGAAACGAGCCAAGATTTTGAAAGGTGACTTAATTTTGGGCACGTGCCACTTGTTCAGCTGTGGGATTTGGGTTTCCAGTCTGGGGTAACAAATATATCCCAAAGGATGTATCAGTCTGGGAAAATGAAAGGAGAAGGGAAAGGATTAAAAAAAAAAAATGTGGTTTTGGAATATAAATAGACTGGAAATAGTCACAGATTGCTCAGCACAGGGCGTGATCCCAGCCACTGAAATGAATGTCTTTCTAGTGGTTTCAGTGGAAGAAAACTATGTGTGGTAACAGGGTTTTGGGTCTGAGATTTATTTCTGCTCATGTTCCCTCACATACATCAGTGTTTTTATGAATTCTTGAACACTAATTTAAGGGTAGGCTTTAAAACTCTTTTTCTTTATTTGCCAGCCAACAACATCTGCTTCTACGGGGAGTGCTCCTACTACTGCTCGACTGAGCACGCCCTATGTGGAAAACCGGATCAGATCGAAGGGTCTCTGGCTGCTTTCCTACCTGACTTGTCTTTAGCTAAAAGGAAAACCTGGAGAAACCCTTGGAGACGTTCCTACCACAAGCGCAAGAAAGCAGAGTGAGTAGTGGTGAGCAAAGGGCTCACCAGCCGCAAAGGGAGATAGGAAAAGAAAACAGTGCTGCAGTTACTGCCCTTGCCTGATCTAAGGCATTGAGGCTTAGGAGAGCATCTGCATTTCTTCAGCGGGTCCAGCTCCTGGGAAGGGACAGAGTACTTACACTCACAAGGAGCTCCAGCTTATGGTCCCTAACCTGACAGGACCTTCAATGACATAATTCCCTCATGGGACAGATACCTCCAGTGGCTTTGACAGGATGCAGTGGGACCTGTCTAAGTCCTATCCAAGGGAGAAAGATTCACTGCCATCAGCAGCCCTGAACAAGTCCCAGGTATTTTCATCATATGACTGATGGTGCAGCTGATCTCCTAAATCTTGAAGCTACTAGCCAGTTAGTTTTCAATCTTGTGATTTTCTTCCTTTTCCTTCCTCAGTCAAATGTGATACAACTAGATCTTTGCAAAATAACTTTTTTTCTTTAACACTCAATAAGCTTTGTATGTCACATAAAATATCAAAATATTGGCTTTTACAGATGGGAAGTTGATCCAGATTACTGTGAAGAGGTTAAACAAACACCCCCATATGACAGTGGGACCAGAATTCTGGATATAATGGATATGACAGTTTTTGATTTCCTAATGGGTATGTTTCATCTCCTTCAAAAATTAAATGCAACATTTAATTAGAATAAGAACCATTTCTTTCTACCCTGCTCTGCATAGCTCAGCAGTTTGCTAAAGCATGGTTGAAGCTGCATTTACTGTATGTGCCGTTCTAGATGATTATGAGAAAATGCAGATTTACATGGTTATGTATTCCCATCAGAGTAGATTAAAGGAACAAAGATGTTCAGAAATGCAGAGTCGTGATGAACGCAGGTCAGGCTAGTCTCCTTCACAACAGTTAAGGGCTTCACAGTTTGCTTTAGTGAGTGCTTTACCATGGTAATGTATGGCTCCTGGATGCACATGAGAGGACTGTTCATTATTGGCACACTCTTTTCAACCTGCAGTAGTACTCGCTGCTGCTTGCTCTACAAACTGTCAGAGGGACAAAAAAAAAAAGAGTTGTTGCTTTGTCACAAAGGCAATTGTGCTTTGTGTCAGGATTTTTCTTTTCTGTTTATGTAACCTGATTGGAATAAAATAATAATTAACAAGCAGTTAACAGTGACCTATTCCAAGCCTACCCAGTGGTTAACGCTGAGACATTCTCATATGAAACCTGTTCTGCTGCAGCTAATATACCTGTAAGGTGCCAACATACATACTTGATCCTCAGACCCATGGCAGCATGGACATATCCTCTGCCATTGCCACTACTGAGATTTCTGCAATAGGCTGCAGCAGGAGAGGCCAAATTACAGCTCAGGAGCCATATGGGGCACCCAGAAGTGGCTCAAGACCCCCGCCATGAAGACAAAATTCATAGCTTGGCACCAGTACTCTGCACATTGACCTTAAAAAGCAGCTAATGTGTCTACCTGCCACGGGTGCCCAAAGAGAGCTGTATCACTGCAGTAGCATCCTGATCCATATGTTAGAGCCATAATACTATTTTGGCTTGCCAGGCATCCAGAAATTTGGACAAAGTTCTTATTAGAGGAAAAACAGGATGTCTAGTCATGGTTCAAAAAGTTTAATACGATATTAGCAAAGTCATATGGATTAACATCCCTGCTTGAAGGATGCATTTTCTGCTCCCTAAGCTAAGCCTCGCACTTGGCACATGTACCATGGCTGCATTGCACACCATACTGACCCAGGGTTGGGGCAGCAGGGCTCGTTTTCACCAGTAAAGCTCTGCTGGTTTAGGACATGGCTACCTCACAGATGCCCAGGCTCCCCACGCAGCTGAGATGCCGTTGTACCTGAGAGGGATTTCCTTGGTGCATCCCAAGAGGGATTGCTGGAGGGTGGGAAGGTTCATTTTTGTCTCCTGGTGGGTTCTCTAGAGCTTAAGTGTAAAAGCTAGAGAGCTTGAAAAGCTCCCAGAGGCATGACAGCCCATCTTCCAGTATTGCACACTTCGAGCTTTCCACAGTGGAAGCAAATGAGCCCAGTAGACCCGTTGCTTTCTCTGCCCTCCACAGCCATCGTGTTTGGGGAGCACCAGGCTTCTCGCTAAACCATAGGCTTTGTATTGCCCTGACCTGCAGGCTCAGCAGCTAAGCCAGAGTGAGAATGGTCTTTTTTTCTCTTTATTCCATAGGTAACATGGATCGACATCACTACGAAACCTTTGAGAAGTTTGGAAATGAAACATTTATTATCCACTTAGATAATGGAAGAGGGTAAATACCTTTAATTTTTCTGGGGAAAAAAAAAGAAAAAAGTCTTTAAAACAGCTTTTGTCATGTTCTTGCTCTTATCTTTACATAGGTTTGGAAAATATTCCCACGACGAACTTTCCATATTGGTGCCTTTAAACCAGTGCTGCAGGTACATTTCATCCCTGGAGTTGTTTCCTATTTTATATAGTTGTTTCCATTAATAGGAGTGAAATGTTCAAGTGAATCTTTTATTGCATAGCATGGAGAAGAGGAGATGTTATGATCTGTCCCAGTGAGCTTGACCCGAGCTAGGCCTGAGCGTTGGCACTAACACGTTAAGTGCTTTGTTGAGATCAGAACCTTGCAGGAACATGGCTGTGAGCTGTTGTGAGAGACTCTTTATTAAGACAAAATACGTGTCCCATTGAAGTCACGTGGCAAGACTCTTCCCAGCTTGTTCAAGTGCTTCACAGTGGTTTTCCACAGTGCCCATGGCCAGGATTTTCAGGGGGGACAGGTGATATTTAGAGTTGCAGCTTTGCACAGCTGGGACACAGGGTGAGCCCTGTGCCTGCGAGGGCTCTGGGCACCCCTGCAGGGTGAGCTAGTGGGAGCCTCCACTGCCACCACCCGCGCCCCAGCTCAAGGCCATGAGGGTGAGCTAGTGGGAGCTTCCATTGCCACCACCCGTGCCCCAGCTCAACGCCATGAGGGTGAGCTAGTGGGAGCTTCCACTGCCACCACCCACGCCCCAGCTCAACGCCACGTGCATCATGTGTGTCAGTGCCGAGGTGGATGTGGCCCCATGAATGCTGCACCAGATCTAGTCGGTGCCTTACCCAGCCGAGGAACATGAAGGCTGTCTGCACTTGGCTGTGGAGCTGTGTTCCAAAACCTCCCCACCTTTAAGGGCTCCCAAAGATCACTGGCCAGGTGACCACGCCAGGTCTCATTAGGGCTGTGACAGCGCTTGCTTCTCATCATTTCAGATCACATAATAAGGTTTTTATGCTGTTAGCACTATGCTGACTATAAGCCTTTTAGCCCTGTCAAGATCAACAGTGATGAATATACTGATTTGCATTTTTTTTCTCCTTTTTCTCTTAGAATAAGGAAGTCTACCTATCTGCGATTACAGTTGTTAGCCAAGGAGGAATACAAACTCAGTCTCTTGATGAAGGAATCTTTACTAAAAGATAAAATAGCTCCCATTCTCTACCAGCCTCACTTGGAGGCGATGGACAGGCGGCTGCGGATTGTCCTCAAGGCTGTTAGTGACTGTATAGAAAAGGATGGTTATGACAATGTGGTTGAAAATGACTTTAACACTGATGTTAACTGTATATGCCACTTTGTGAATTCAGTGAATTCAGAAATGAGATATAATTGTTCCCAAAGTAGGTAAAGTGTAGACTCTGCAAAGGCTTAGTTCATTAAGAAAAATAAGTCTAATGTGATGCTTTTCGTTAGTTCCTCAAGAGAGATTATGAAAAGATTCAGAAAGTACTCAGATCATTGACAGACTGTCTGATAGCAAAACACCTCCTGTCCTTTTTGTATAGAAAGGAGGCCTTTACTTAATATTTTGTATTTATATATGGTATATCTATGAAAACCCAGACCTACCTACCAAATTTAACTAAGAGGGACGGCATAGTTTTGTGACTCACACTTTATTTGTGGTGACAAGTCCACTTAGTATTTTGTGTTAACCCTTTAAGTGCTCTAATCCACTGTATCTTATTTAAATTGAATGCTTTTTTTCCCCCAGCTACTCAGCATTTAAAGGGTTAAGGCATTATGAACTTTTAAAGGCAAAAAATAATAATTATTATAATATAAATAAATACAGTGGTTACCGGAAGGGAATTTCACTAATTGTGCATTGACAGGAATACTTGAATGTTGGTTTTACAAAGTGATGTAAAATGACAAGTTGTACTATTTGTCCATAAGGAGCTGGCAGCTCTTCTCTTTCTAGACTATCATAGCTGAGCTGCTACTTTTCAACTTTGCTTTTGATAGTTTTGTGTAAATATATACATATATGGGTAAAAAGCTGCTTTCAGCAGCTCTAGGCTTACTTTTGCAGCATTTTTGTGGAATTGTTTGCAACGTGGTAAAAGTGCAATAAAGATATGGCAAAATGTGTAGCCATCGTGTCTAAATGGATTCATTTTTTATTGGAAATCTTGTTCAGAGCAAAGCTGTGCACAGTAGCCAAGCATTCCAGAAGCAGTTGTTTAAATTGCCGTCCCCTTTTGTAGCAACAGCAAGTCAAGCTAAAGTAGGGAACTGGTGATGAATACACGTTACAACGCCGATAAGGACCGTGGTGTGGAAAATGGCAAATCTTTCATGTGAAAGCATTGTTTTGACTATCACTTCAGCATCCCTCCCCCTTGCAATTATAGCTGTAGAAACAAGCTGTAGAGCAACACCTCTAAAAGATTATGGCTTGACACACTGCCCAGAGGATTTAGATACATCGGTTCCTCTGACTTGGGTAGCACAACCCAGAAAATCTGCGCCTAAGTTATCTAGAATGATGATATTCTCAAACAAATAATTTTGAATCATGTACAGCTGACTTCATGTAATATGTGTGGAGACTTTCAGCCCAAAAGCAAGTTATAAATTGAACGAGTGGCTGTATTTGACTTGTGAAAACACGGTGTGGTACGGAAGGACTCCCTCACCGCTCTTTTGGGTGAGGAGAGAATTTATTATGACAATATTCATCACAACTATAATTCAAAGCTGCCATTTGTTTCATTTTATGTCTTTCTTCTCAGGGATTTATAAACACATACTTTAAAAGCTTGTAGCCAGACAGACTAAAATGTAGGCATTTCAGCATATTAAAATTATGAATGAGAGAAAGAGCTGCTGTGTAGTCTCATTCACTTCTTAGGTTGATATATTATCACTAAAAAAATATGTCTTTTACTATTCTACTGCCTGTTTCAAATTCCCATGACTCTCACATAGATGGCACACAAAGACAAGAACATTTCAGATTATACAACTGTCCATGAACTTGGACAATTGCTGTGTTACCCCATGGCTTTTTTTCACTTGCCAAGCCCCCCTGTGATTGCAAGGATGTCCTCTGTAATGCAGTGCTTGCACTGCAGCTCTCTCTCCCCATTAGCCAAAACCCCCAAAATGTAGGATTGCAAAAAGACAAAGTGGGTGATATTATCCTTGCTTTGTCCTTAATGCCTGGCTGTGGTTTCCCTGCAGGTGCAGGTTTTTCTCCCTATAAGATTGTGCCGGGACAGCAGACAGGAGCTGTAAAATCACCCCCCTGGCACAGCTCTGCCCTCTGCTTCTGGGGTCAGGTCAGCCACAGGCTTTGGGTCTGCAAACCTGGGTTTCGTTTGGGAAGCGGCACTTGGCAGCCCCTCAGCTGATAGAGGAGCAGATACAGCAAAGGTCTTTGCTCTTTAGAAGCTGGGTTGTAGGTCAGGAGCTTCTGGCAAGGTGGTTCAAGCTGAAGGTCTCTGCAGAAGGCTGCCTAGTGCTATCAGGAATATAAACTTACTGTTACAAACCCAGTTCTGTGTTTCTAGAAGCAGAATTAGTGGTGTTTCTGTAGAATAATTAACTAGAGGCTACTCATCCTTGCCATATTGTAACCGGCTCTGTAGGGGCTCCAGCTTCCTTTCCTGAACTTGGATGCTTCCCCTTGCAAGCTCTGTGCTTCAGCTTTCCAGACCTGTAAAAATTATTCTTGTTTCCAGCCGTAAATTGGACACACAGGAAAGCTGAAGGGGAGGCTTTTCTTTGGGATGAGACATGCGAGCATCTTGGAAGAAGGGCAATATTAGCTAAGCAGGGAGAAGTTTCCTTTCCTCTCTGCTCTCTGATGAGAAATTAGGGTGAATGAACCACACCAGAGCAGTGCAAGCCTAAATACACCGCAGGGTGCTCAGGCAATGAACAGCAACAGTTGAGTTCAGGCCCTTTGCGTGGCCAGGAGAGCTGAGGACATGGGACTGATCTGGGGTTATTTTAAGAAGTGGAAGGGCTGGTTAATGGAACAAGCTGTGGAGTTGCTGCTGGGCACCTACCAGGAAGCTCTGGTCTGTTTGCATTCACGCTGCCAGGCAGGTAGGACTTTGACTCATGTTAATTTTCTAGGTGTTTGGGAAGGGAAAATAATTACTGCCCTGTTCCGATACTTCTTTTCTACGTGGGCAGGCGTGAGTGGGCATGATAGATGGGAAACGGGAGCAGGGAAGAGACCTTGTGCCTCTGCCTTTCAGCTCTTGAGGCTAAGACAGCTTTGAGAATAGCTCGGTACAGCCCAGGGAGGGGCAAGCCTCCGCTTTTGGTGTGCATCTGCATTGCCCCAAGACAGAGCTAGCAGCTGTCCTGAATTTCTTCTCCTGAAAATTTCATGGAGTTTTGAGAGCTTTTAGGGAAAGGGCATTGCTCTCCCAGAGTGAAACGCATCCTTCTGCAGGCAAGAAGGGCTTTCTGAGCGATCTCAGCAGTAGATGATACCATTTGAGGGTGCCTTTGTGCGGGGACAGCTGGTTCTTGGGGGTTCTTGTTGGGAGGACACCATGGGGTTGATGTGCAGAGGTCGCGCTTGTGACCGCGCGTGTGACAGCGGGCTACCACAGTCCGAGACGACAGCTCTGAAAGGGCTGTCGCTGTGCGTTAGGTCAGTAATCCATGAACTAAGGAGGATTAGCATGACATGGTGTAACATCTCTTTAGGAGTCCTACATAGCTTCTAGACAAAAAGATTTGCTCTAAGAAGAGAAATAAGTGTCAGAATCCAATTGGTTTGTCTCCGAATCTCAAAAACGGGTGCAGCAACAGCACCTAGGCAATGACTTACCAAGAAAACTGCAGCAGTCTATCAGGGGCATAACATGCTCAGCACAATAAATAACAGATAAAAACAGATATTGTACTTCTAAAAGCACCTAATGACAGCTGTATCTGACTGCCTAGAATAGCTTACTGTATTCTCCTGAGTAATTTGGAGGAGAGCCTCATTTTGCTTTGCTGTTTTTCTGTTATTTAAGCATCAAAGGAAATTCACACAAATTAAAAAAAAAAAAGCTGTTATTGTTTGAATTGGGTATCACTGTTGTGATCAGCAGTCCCAGGCAGAGCCCGTGGTGTATGTACAAGCTGCGAGCCTGGCGGAGATTGCAATGTAAGCAACAGCGAGAGGCATTGCGTAGGAGGAGGGAACCTGGGATTTCAGCCTGACTATTGCCATCGAGCACTGAACTGAAAATGAAGTTGTCTTATGTGGGCACTAAAGGGAGGAGTGTCCAAAGGGTGTTCTGGTTCCTGCTAGTGGGTCTGTACAAGGTACCTATAGGTGCAAGGGGGCTGTCCTGCTCTCTTCCATTGCAGCAACTAGATTGTCCCCTTAACACATCCAAACTCCACCTGAAGACTGCCCCTGCATCAAGGCTTTTGTGGACCCAGCCTAAGCATAACAAGTTTCCAGCTTGGAGCTGGACATACACTAGAGCCTTGATAATTTTCATCCCGATGGAGCAAATTTTCTCCTAGTACTGAATGTATGACTGCAAATTCATTTTCCAGAAATTATTCCAGATGTTGGTTGTTTCTATGGACTTCCTTGCCAGTGGTTGTTTACTAAAATATTTGGGGCTCAATATGCAGAAAAGAACGCTCAGAAGGAAGATTCTTTTTAAAATGTAAATTGAGTGGTTTAGGGAAATGCTGAGTTGCCTGGGTATCCTGGTTTCAGCTGGGATAGAGTTAATTTTCTTCTTTGTAGCTGGCATAGTGCTGTGCTTTGGATTTAGTATGAGAAGAATGCTGGTAACACACTGATGGTGATCGTATCGCTTGTTTTTCCTGGGTTTTGTTCCTCTTTTTTTCTTGTTTTCTTTTTCACTACAATTTATTATTACTGCTATTATTATAATTATTACTTTTATTATTTTATTTTATTTCCATTATTAAATTGTTCTTATCTCAACCCACAAGTCTTCTCACTTTTACCCTTCCGATTCTCTGCCCCATCCCACTGGGGAGGGAGGGTGAGTGCGTGGCTGTGTGGTGCTTGGTTGCTGGCTGGGGTTAAACCACAACACTGGGACAAGTTTTCACATGGAATTTCAAGTTCTTGCCAGTGAGAAGCTTCTGGATTTCTTAAGAATATTTTTTTATGCTAGAAGTGATTCATAGGTAGCCTCCAGCCATAACTCAGTCTGTGACCAGATCAAACTGAATTATCCGCTTGCTTCTACATTTGAATCTGTAAAGTACCAATCCAATGCTTTTGGGGGCTGTCTAGGAAAATATTAAAAGCAATTCCATTTGGTTGGTCAAAAGACCTAAGCACTGAGGTCAGACCAGCTATGGTCATGGGTGAAAATTAGGCATAAGCAAAAAGGAGGC